TCACTATGCATCAAAGTCATGTTCTTAAAATTGTTTCTAGTCATTGTATTGTCAAGATATGGCATTGACAATGTTTAAAGACTGGTACATGTTAAGTCTCCTTACTTGAGAAGTAAGCAATCGATCTCATAGATTGAAGTGTATGGGATTCTTAAGGATAACAAGTGGGTGCTTGTTAAAGAACAGGTTCATTAAACATGACTTGCTATGAGAACTCCATTTGATATTTTACTCAAATGTCCATGGAATATGTTCTCATGTAATAGTAGTTCAACTAATCCTTAGATTTAAGACACTAGGTCATCTTATATGGAGAATGACATACTTTGATTTCATCCCTAGGGGTTTGAAAGAGATCACATGCCTAAAGAAGGTGTTTTTAGGTATGCCTTGAAGCATGCGAAGGTGAATAAGTTGTTAAGAGAGGATTCATCATCCATAGTGATATGAGGGGATATATCTCACTTGTTTTCAATTCTTGATTAACTTGGATAAAGCCATTGGCTAAAGCATGATGAATTTAAAGAAAGTTAGCTTCTTAAATTCAAAAGGTTAGTCATGAATTACAAGAACTAATATGGAATGTCATAAGTAGACACTAAGTCATGCTTTATGACATACGTGATATATTTGATGAAAGGACTGTATTGCATTGAAAGGCTTATCACTGAAAGGCTTTGTCAAATTCTTTAATTAACTCTCTAACATTTGAGTGGTCATGATTTATTGCTAGATATCCTCATGATCTGTAAATATAAATCATTTATCAAATTGATATTTGATTAAGATTTATATTTATTACTAACATGTTAGAAGCTTAATAGGTCTCGCAATTTGAGTGATATGATTGAGATTAAATAAGGATAATCAATTAAGTTGGTCTTAATTGGAATAGACCAAAATAAAGTGAGAAATTAATTAAGCTCACAAGGACTTAGTTGAATTAAAATACAATTGTTGTATCTAGAGTTACAACTTAGTTTGGCTATATACGCATATTATATTAGCCAACTAAACCTATAAGCCTTTAGCTAGTTCTTGGCTGTTTGATAAAAGTAAGAACAGAAAAATAGTTTTTTCTCTATGAAAAAAAAAAATTTGATAAGAACTTTTGGTTGTTTTGTTTTAGAAACAAAACTTGCTAGCACAACTAATTTTACCTTTGAGAAGGTCTTATTCAGTCATTGTGTGGATTAGTATTAGAGGCCAAAAATTTGGATGGTTAAAAATTTGACAAATCCTAAAGGTGAAGAAGTAAAGATTTTGATTGCAAGGTTTCGGACTGTCTTATTCTCTTATCGGGTTACTTCCTTCATCACAAGCCTTTTGGATTTAATTGTCTCTTGATTGCGATACCTAGAGCAAGGTATGTAACTCTTAAACTTATGAATGTTCATAATTGATTTGAAAATTTCATGAAAAACACAAACTTTGATCCTGTAAAATTCAACTATTTCTCAGATTAAATGATAGTTTATTTTTCTATTGCATTATATTTTTAATTTTATAATTAATTTCATGTTTGAACATAAGGTCGAATCTCAGCACATATTGCCTAGTATGATCCTAATATTTTGGGTGATGTATTGGGTTTGAAAAGGATGTCGGTGCCTTGAAAGTGAGAGACCATGACCCATCCTCCATTCATAGATCAACTAAATATTTACAAGAACCTAACCAATTGCCCCTTTTCAAGGACAATTTTAATACATAGGTATTTCATATATCGAGACTCAAGAGCAAAGTTAGCCAATTTTATTGGGGAGGCCAAAGACGAAAAGGAATTGTGAGAATATTATTCTTTTTAATATTAACATTATTTCTAACTAATTTAATTCAGTTAAACTTATTATTTTGACTTGCTACGCTAAATATCATATTTACATTAATATTTTAATAATACTTATTCCACTTTTATAATTTTTTACGTTAATTCTAATAAATTTATGTCCAGGTTTTTTAATTGCTACTTTTCACTATAATTATTTTTATCTTCGTGATTATGCCTCTATAAATTAAAATTTGTAAATTATTAAATACTTTTAATTAGAGAATAAAAATTTTAATTTTTAATTTTCAAAAACAATTATATTCATTTTAACTTAATAGACTTATTATAGTAAATATCACATATTTACATCAATATTTTAACAATATTTGTTTTACTTTTATAATTTCTTATGCTAATTTTTACAAGTTTATGTTAAGTTTTTTTAGTTGCTAATTGTCACTATAATTATTTTAATGCTTATTTTTATTCATTTATAAATTAAAATTTGTAAACTGCATGTTATACTTTTAGCTTGATAATATAAATTTAAATGTTTAATTTTTTCAAAAAAAAATTATTTTGACTTAATTGACTTGTTATGTTAAATATTAGACATTAACGTCAATATTTTAATAATGCTAGTTCCACCTTTATTATTTTCTACGGTACTTTTTACAGGTTTATGTCAAGGTTTATCAATTACTAATTTAATTATAAGTATTTTCATCCTCATTATTATTCCATTATATATTAAAATTTGTAAACAATTAAAAACTTTTAGCTCAACAATATAAACTTAAACATTTAATTTTTACAAAAATTATATATATTTTGACTTAATGGACTTGCTATGTTAAATTTCACACATTTACATCAGTGCTTTGATAATGCTTGTTCCTTCTTCACTTTTTTTTTTTAACATTAATTCTTGCAAGTTTACATCAAGGTTTTTCAATTGATAATTTTCACTATAATTATTTTTATATTATTATTATTCCTTTATAAATTAAATTTGTAAACCCTTAAACACTTTAAGCTTGAGGAAATATTTATTGGACTTAATTGACTTATTACGTTAAATATCACATATTTATGTTAATATTTTGACAATCTTTGTTTCACCTTAATAATTTTTACATTAACTCTCATAAGTTTACATCAAGGTTTTCCAATTGCTAATTTTCATTATAATTATTTTAATTTTTGTTATTATTCCTTTATAAATTAAAATTTGTAAATTGTTAAATACTTTTAGCTAGATAATATAAATTTAAACATTTAAGTTTTTTACAAAAATTATGTTTACGATACTTAATTGAGTTATTACGTTAAATCTCATATATCTATGTTAATATTTTGACAATACTTACTCCACCTTTATAATTTTTTATATTCATTGTTATAGGTTTACGTCAAGGTTTTCAAAATTCTATATTTTACTATAATTATTTTTATCTTTATTATTATTCTTTTATAATTTCAAATTTGTAAATCGTTAAATATTTTTAGTTAGATAATATAAATTTAAATGTTTAAATTTTATAGTAATTATGTTTATTTGACTTAATTGACTTGTTACATTCAATCTCACATATTTAGGTCAATATTTTGACAATACTTATTCAAACTTTATAATTTTTTACGTTAATTTTATTAGTTATATAAGGTTTTTCAATTGCTATTTTTTATTAAATTATTTTTATCATTTATTATTGCTTTATAAATTAAAATTTGTAAACTATTAAATACTTTAAACTCAAGCATGTAAATTTAAGTTTTGATTTTCCAAAAAAATTAGTTTATTTGACTTAATTGACTTATATATTATTACTCTACACATTTACTCAATATTTTGGTAATCCTTATTCTGCCTTTATATTTTTATATTAATTCTGACGGGTTTACTCAAGATTTTTTAATTACTAATTTTAACAATAATTATTTTTTCTTATGATTGTTCATTTATGAATTAAAATTTATAAATCGTTAAATACTTTTACTCAATCATATAAATTTAAATGTATAATTTTCTCAAAAATTTATTATAATTTAACTTAATTGGCTTGTTACACTAAATCTCACAAATTTATAATATTTTATCAACACTTGTTCCACTTTTATAATTTTTTATGTTTACTCTTACAAGTGCACGTCAATGTTTTTCAGTTCCTAGTTTTCACCATAATTATTTTTATCCGTGTTATTATTCCTTTATAAATTAAAATTTATAAATTGTTAAATACTTTTAGCTCAATAATATAAATTTAAAGGTTTGAGTTTCACAAAAATTGTATTTATTTTGACTTAATTGACTTGTTATGTTAAATCTCACATATTTACATCAATATTTTCATATGCTTATTCCACCTTTGTTAACTTTTATATTAATTCTTACAAGTTTACGCCAAGGATTGTCATTTCTTATTTTTTTCTTATAATTATTTTTATCTTTGTTATTATTATTTATTATAATTGTTATGGTAGTGCAGTAAGCTCAATGTGAGTGATTCCAAGAGGGGTGAATTGGAATGTTTTTTTTAAAATTTTGATGATTCTTTTTTCTTATTTTGAAATAGAATTCCTCAATCTAATCCATTTGAATTGACGAGATGAATCCTTGCTATATATTATAAGATGGTTTGGAGGCTTTGGAGCATTAATGGAGGATGAAGAAATGAAAATGAGAAGTAAGGCTCGAGTTAGGGCTTTTTATTTTTTCCACTAAACCAAAGGGTCAATCCTAAGTGTATTTTTCCTTGGCAAGGCTATAGGGATTGACCCTTTAACCTTAGGGAGTTGATCCTTTTGATTTCGAATAGCTATTTTTAGGTTCTAGCTTGTAAGGATTGACACTTTAACCATTGAACGTCGATCCTTTTGGTTCCAAAAGCTTTTCTGAGTATTTTACCTTGCAGGGGTCAACCCTTTAACCCTTGGGGTTGATCCTTAACACTTTCAATAGCTAATTTGAGCCAAAATACTTCCAAGGATCGACCCTTCATGCCTTAACATGACAAAAATCTATTCTTTTGGTGTCCTTTCACTTCTATTCTTTCAACCATCAATCGTCCTCAAATACAACACTATATTATGTAGAAATTTATAACCAAATAATTGAGAGAACTTATCCAATAATAAAATCAAAATATTGTTAATTAAAGGCTCAAATTTACCAAGCTTCACTTAATGAAAATCAGGGTTTCACATAAACGTTTACGCTAAATTCATGATGGGTGGGACTACGGATTCACGATATAAAGGTAGGCTAAGTCTCTTCTCTTGTCTACAACAATATTAAGATTTGAGCCATTGCAGAGTTATTAGAAAAGGATAAGGAAGTTCCTTGTGCATTGAATCCGATCAATTAATTTGGTCAGAATTATTTTCATTGTCAACTCACATATCGAGATTTGGGTATGTTTTTATATTCTAAATTCCTACTATGATATATCTTGGATTAATATAAATTTTTTATATGTAAAGTTTAACATATTTTTCATCAATCCACTTAGTGCCACAATCATACTATTGTTGGTCATAGGTGGACTTTTTTTGATATTAAATTAAGTGGGCCAATTGTTTTAAAAGCTTAGTTAATCGGAAAGATTCAATTATATAAAATTTTAAGTTTTAACGTTATGAATTTAAAAGTTTGCATTTCAAGCACAGTAGTTCAATGTGATTTAGTCTTATTCCTTTTATTGGTTTATTTGTTTAATTTGTCTATTTTTTTTATTTCTTCTATTAATTTAGTATGTAAAATGATATATATTTCACATTTGAAATTTCCAAAATCATATTAGAAAATGATAGAAATTTGAACTATTTAGAAGTTTTACTTGTTTTTCTCCAAAATTTGATCTTGTTTTAGAATTTAAAAAGAAGAAAAAAACAGAGATTAAGTGAGTACATTGCCTTACTCACATATAAAAAATTACTTAGATATGCTCCTTAATTAATACAATCAGATCAACAAATATACGTTTCATTCTAGTCATCATCTCCCACAAAAATGCAAATAATAAACAATTATCAATAGTTTATTATATATATATATATTTCACCTTTGTAGTGTTTAAACTTTTTGGAAGCTAGTACTTTGGCTCCACAAAAAACCCTAACTGCTCTGGTTATCTACACATCTCTCCAGCCCTCTGTTAGCAGAGACATGAACAAGTGTCTTGAGACCGGCCAATCCTCCACCAAGAACACTTTAAGGTGTACTAAGATATAATTCTTTCTTTTGTGAGGTCCGTTATTCATGAACAACTGTTTTCTTCTTCTTGTACATGTGAATAACACAATATATTGACTTGACGACTGCAGAGACAAGAGAAAAGGAAAGAAACCCATGGCCCCAGAAAGGAAAGAGAACCGAGAGTTTCCAAGCACAAGAAGCATGCATGTTCTAAAAGGAGGTTTGAGGTTAGTTATGTAGCTAATTAACTTTTTCCTTTTTGTGGAATTGATTCCAGTTTTGCATGCTGTTTGTCCAATTCCTGCTTGCTGATGATGTTTCACTTTTATTTATTAGCCTGACCAAAAGAAGGGATTCATGAAGAAGCAGAAAACTTTGGAATCAAAGTTAGCAGATCTTAAGAAAGAAATGAACCACGAGGAATTGCAGGAATACCAAGAAAAGCTGGGACAATTGGAACAGAACTTTGGAACAGACATTTCTCGGGCAAAAGCAATAAATGTTATGAGC